AGAAATGTTGGCTGTGATTACTCCCATTTTGCAGAGAAGCAAACCGAAGCTCAGAGAGGTTAAGCAACTTGTCTAAGGTCACACAGGCAGCAAGGGCCTGAGCAGAGATTTAGACACAGGTCCTTGTCACTTCACCCTGCCAGGCTGAGCTCACAGTCTCTGTTCATCAGTCTGGCAGGTCAGCGTACCTTCCTCGGCCCTGGCAGCATTTCTTCTTTGTACCTCGGGTTTCTACCTGTAGTTGTGATTGGCGGGACACCATTTAAATTGAAAGCGCCTTCTCATTCTGTTAAACAGTGGGGTCCCCAGACCAGCAGCATGAGCATCGCCTGGGAACTTGCTAGAAATGCCAGTTCTCAGACCGGCCCCCAGACTCATTGAATTAGAAACGCTGGCGCTGGGCTCCAGCCACCAGGGAGGCTGCTGCTCACATTTGAGAACCCTTGCTGTAAAGCACGTCTCATGAAACCAATCTGCAAGACCTTGGCAGTTCAAGGAGAACGATTCAGAAACTTAGCAGAGAAGAAAAGAAAACAAACTATTTAAAAAGGCACCTGCATTTGAATGTTTATAGCAGCACAATTCACAATGGCAAAGACGTGGAAACAACCCAAGTGCCCATCAATGCATGAGTGGATTAATAAAATGTGGTATATGTATACCGTGGAGTTCCTACTAAGCTGCAAAAAACGATGGTAAACTAATACCTGTTGTATTAACCTGGGTGGGACTGGAGACCATTCTTCTAAGTGAAGTATCCCAAGAATGGAAAAACAAGCACCACATGTACTCACCAGCAAATTGGTATTAACTGATCAACACTTAAGTGCACATATAGTAATAACATCCATCAGGTGTTGGGCAGACGGGAGAGGGAGGAGGGGATGGGTGAAATCACACCTAATGGGCACAATGCACACTATCTAGGTGATGGGCACACTTATAACTTTGACTCAAACAGTACAAAAGCAATTTATGTAACCATAACGTTTGTACCCCTGTAATATTGTGAAATTTTTAAAAAGGGAGAAAGAAAGAAAAGGAAACAGACACAGAAAGTGATCTGGCCAGAAGCCACAAAGTTGGAGGAGGAGGTTTGTGGAGGGGGCTGGTTGGCCCCAATGATGCTCAAGGAAGGACGGAAGGGAGTCTCAACCTGGCTACGTGGCAGAACAGCAGGCCTGTGTGTGCGGCCTTCAAAGTGGGCGCACAGCGTTATAATCTGACAGTTCTGGGTGGGCTGAGCACCTGTACTGCTAAAAGCTGCACAGACGGGCCTGTCCTGCTGTCAAGAAGGGGCGCCCTGTGCCCCATTGGAGAAGGCCTTGGGGGCTGCACGGTCCGGGTGCCGGCAAGCTTCGACAACCGCGTGGAGTGTGATGCTGTTTGCAATCCCAGAGAAGACCCCTCCCTTCGGCAGAGGGATGCCCTTAGCCTTTGCTCTCCCACTCCGACTGTTGGGTGTTTGTGAATGGCCTTGGTGTCCCCTCATTATTGGCCCTCTGCTCTCTGCCCACAGCAGACCCCTGAGGATCCCAAACCCCTTAAACCTGACCTCGCCTCCGTGCCTTTCTGCTTTCCCTCCCCGTGTGCTGGTTCTCAACGTTGTGTGCATTGGAATCACCTGCAGGACTTAAAAATCACACACCCATCCATCCATATACCACACATATACGCACACAGTATGCAGCTGTTGCAATATGCAATATTTGAGGCATACTAAGAATACAGCTGTCCCTCTTGGTATATGTGGGGTATTGGTTCCAGGACCCCCGTTATACCCAAATCTGCTCACACTCAAGTCCAGCAGTCCGCCCTGCAGGAACACTGAGAGAAGTCAGCCCTCCGAATATGTGCTTGGGTTTTGCAGCCCTTGAATACTGTATTTTTTACCCACATTTGGTTGAAAAAAATCAGTGTATAAGTGGAGCATTGAAGCTCAAACCTGTGTTGTTCAAGGGTCAATTATAATTGATATGAAATTCAGATTTCACTGGGTGTCCTGTATTTTAGGAGAATTGGGAATAATGCTGGTGACAGGACTAGACCCCAGAGACAGGAGACTGCCCAGTGAGGGCCACTGTAATTCCAGGACCCAGCACACAGCCTGAGCCCCCTGCCTCATTGTGCCCATCCAAAGGAGGCTCAGGTCCCCAGTGCCGAGCTCAACCAGCAGGGGGCAGCCTTCCCCTACCCCAGACCAGGCTCCGCTTGGTGATTAGGGGACCAAATGCCCAGGAGCCATGGGGGGCAGCAGGGGCTCCTGCCTCAGTGTCCACAGTCTCCTTCCACAAAAGACCCCAACCCCCGCCTGCATTCCCATCTTTACTGCCCGGGCCACGTCCAAGTGCAGTGGGAGGCTGTCTCTGACAAAATGGAGCAAGGCTGGGTCACAAAGGAACCGTTTGTCAGGCACAGCAGCCGACAGTGAGCTGTGTACACACCTATACTCACGTTTCCTTACTACAGTGCAACTTGGCTTTCAACAGCTAACAATTAGAAAAGCAACTGTCAAAGCACCAACTTACTTCTTCCTAGAGCTTGGACAAAATGTGCACGTGTTCTGAGATGTTCTTAAAACATTGATGCCATTTCACCCACCCCCTTGTCATGAAGACACAGCACTGAATTAAGCCACCAGTGCCAGAGCCGGTCCAGGCAATGTGTGATTTTATTCTGGAACATTCCTTTATTGACTGACTATGTCACTCTGAGTTAACTTGCACCAGCAGGTGCCAGAGACTCTTACTGTGGATTCTGGGTGCACGTGGCAAAACTGGCTAAAACCAGCTGAAACTGGCTTAGGCAAAAGGATTGGCTCTTGGGAATCACCTGTGGGAACAGTCTTCAGGCTCCGCCTGCCTTCTTCCCTGTGCACTTTGACCTCCTTCTCGCCTCCCCAGTCAATGGGGGGCAGGCCTTGGGCAACGGCTGTGCTGTGAGTTCCACAATGAGACAGGAAAAATGCTCTTTCCCCAACTTGTTTTAAAAAAACAAAACCCAAAACCTGGAGGTGGGGTACCATGACGCCAACCTTGGACCAATCATTTGGCCAGGAGGGTGGGGTCGAGTAGGAAGATGGAATATCCCCAGAAAACTGGTCTGAAGTAGGGAAAGGAGGAGTTGTCTCCTAAAAAATGGCAAATCCGGATGTAACTAACTCCTGGAGAAATTGTCATGAATGGGACATCCACCCTAGTCTGTGTCTATGACAGATGGCACCAAAACAATAAAGTCACGTGGGCCCTCAAAGACTCCTTCCCACACACAGCACTCTGCGTTGGCTTGGCTTTGCCAGCTGTGACAGGGAGACACGAAAAGGAACCGCTGTGAAGAAACTGAGAAATCGCGCGAGAGTCAGCAGACCCTCAGCATTCGTGGCCGTGACAGTCCTGTTGCTCCCTGACAAGATCTGGTTCATGACTGCTAGGCCGGAAGTCTCATCGGTCTGTGCTGTGAGGCTGGCCCGGGCGCAAGATCCTCTCTCGGAGAGACCTGGGGGCCGCTCGGCTCCCACCTCTGCGCCCAGCTTCCATATGTTCCGCTTAGGTGCACGATGTCACTCTGCTAGAGTAATTTCTTCAAAATTGCCAGGTGAGGCAGCAGATATGATGAGATCTGAGAAAGCGATGGCTCTTAGTCGCTAATGGAAGGTTTTTGTGGAGCAGCAGGTCGTAGCAGGGAAGACTCGGTCCTGAGATGCTCAGTGGCGTGAAGCAGGGGGGCAGGAGGGGCTCGCCCTGGTGTTAACGAGCCTGCAAGGGGGGGTTCCCTCTTGCTGGCTGCACAGAAAGCCAATTACAGAGACAACGAGGATTGTCAAGGGAGGAAGGAGATTCGGTGCAGAGGATGCATCAACCAGGAGGTGGGATGAATGGTGAGCCTCAAACCTGCCTCCCTGACCAAAGTGGTCAGGGGTTTTTCTAGAGGTAAAACGAATAATGCAACCAGTGAGTGAGCATCATCGCATGTTTGGGGCGGAGCGCAGGGCATGCAAGTGCCGTGAGAAATCATGCTAGTACATATGTCTCATGATCAAAAGATTGTGGATGAGTCCCTCCCAGGGTGGAGGTTTTAGTAGTATAATAAGCTAGAGGTTAATGTTGGTCATTCTTTCTTGTGCACAGGAAGGATGAGGGGAGTAACTTGTTCAGTGGGTCCTTGGGCACAATCTGCGGTAGGGTGTCGCTTATCCTGTCGTGCTGGGACAACCTTACACCTACAAGTGTAAGGCCTTGTCGTTGTCTCGTGGCTGCAAGGAGGCTCTGCCATTTCTGGGGAGAAAGAACAACTCAAAAGGGAACGAATGAGCGAAATAGAAAGTTACAAAGTTCTCATCAGCAAATCTTACGGGCTGGGAACCTGAAAGGTAAGAGAACTATAAGAAAGTGTTTGGTGACATAGCACATCTTATATTTTCCTGGTTAGAGCTGGAACCCATACTATTAAGTGAAGTTTCCCAAGAATGGAAAAACAAGCACCACATATACTCACCAGCAAATTGGTATTAACTGAACAGCACCTAAGTGGACACATAGGTACTACAGTAATAGGGTATTGGGCAGGGGGGAGGGGGGTATATACTTACATAATGAGTGAGATGTGCACCATCTGGGGGGTGGTCATGATGGAGACTCAGACTTGTGGGGGGAGGGGGGAAATAGGCATTTATTGAAACCTTAAAATCTGTACCCCCATAATATGCCGAAATTAAAAAAAAAAAAAAAAGAAAGTGTTTTTGTTCGTGGAGCCGGTTGCACTGGGACTGCCTCGCCCATCGAGGGCCCCAGTGAATACAGAAATGCCACGTCAAGAGGGGTTGAAGAAGAAAACGAAATGGCAGGTCCTCAAAAAGTTAAACATAGAATTACCATATGATCCAGCAATTCCACTTTTAAGTACACTCCCCAAAGAACTGAAGGTGGGGTCTCAAGCAGGAGTTCGCACCCTCGTGGCCGTAGCAGCGTTACTCACGGCAGCCAGAAGGTGGAAGCAACCAAGCGTCCACCCCACCGACAGCTGAACCGACAGACACGCTGCGGGGTTCGATGGAATGTTCTTCTGCTGTAAAAAGGTATGACACTCTGACACCTGCTACGTCATGGATGAGCCCCGAGGACGCTGTGCTGAGGGAAATCAGACAGACACAAAAGGACAGTGCTGGATGGTTCCACCCAGCTGGGGCTCCTAGAGGGGTCACACCCAGAGGCAGAAAGCAGAGGGGGCTGCCGGGCCAGGGGCGGGGAAGGAGGGGGCGTTGGTGTCCCTGGGTTGGGAGTTCGAGTCTGGGGAGGTGAAGCGTTCTGGAGATGGGTGGTGACGGGGGTTGCGGGGCCCAGTGGACGTATTTAACGCCACCAAACTGTTCATTTAAAAATGATTAAAATGGAGACTTTCATTATGTGTATTTCACCACAATTTTTTTTAAGAAAAAAGGGTGTGGAGCTGAAATGAGGTTAGCGGCGGGTGAGAGCCGGGGCACAGGAAGCACGTGACCGCTGAGAGAGGGAGTCCGTTACTGAGGGAGAAGCCTGAATAACCGACGCTGAGCTGGTGGCAGCTGTCACACAGGCTCACGGGCCCCATCCCTGCCCTCCTGCCCGGCAGGTGCCGACCTAGGGCCGCCTCGTCCGAGCCCCACGGGGGTAAGTTTGAGCTTCTCCCTTTCCCTCCACAGACCCTGGCAGTGTGGAACGCCTTCTGGACAGGGTCAAGGCCTGAGTTCTAGTCCCTTCCCCTCTCGGGGCCTCAGTTTCCCCCTAGCAAGCACCAGAGTGTCTCTGGCTCGATGTGCCACGCTCCGGGAAGCTCCTGTCCTGCTCGGTCTCTTGAGTCCTGGGGCCCACCTTTGCAGTTGTTTCTTGTCTTTTGTCTTCCTTCTCCCGTTCCTCTCCTGCTCTGCCCCCACCCCGGGTGACCGGCTTAGAAACGTGGGGCTGTCTCCGTACCAGTGGGCCCACAGGGGCCATGGGAGCTGCTGCTGCTTAGGGACAGCCCCTTCCTCCAGGGTAGGCATCGTGGGTTCTTGACGAATCTCATTCAGTGGAGCCCTTCCTGCCTCAGCTAGAGGGGTCTCTCCCCACCTGTGGCTCACATGCCCAGGAAGCCTCTTCTTCTTTCCAGACAGGTTAGGGATTTCCCTTTGCACTTTGTTTTCTTTTTGGAAAATGCACTGTGTAACACCTAAAAAGGCATATGTAACATACACGTACCCAGTTCTACACAGTAGCATAACAAATGCCCCTGAAGCTGCCACTCAACACAAGGATGGACTGGCACTCAACTGCAAATCCTTATCTACTTAGTGCCTGTAAGTCCTACTCGGACATAACCGCCCTCTGGAGTTTTTTGTTTTTGAGACAGAGTCTCACTCTGTTGCCTGGGCTAGAGTGCCATGGCATCAATCTAAGCTCACAACAACCTCAAATTCCTGGGCTCAAGCGATCCTCCTGTCTCAGCATCTCGGGTAGCTGGGACTACAGGCATGAGCCACCATGCCCGGCTAATTTTTCCTATCTTTTTTTAGTTGTTCAGCTAATTTCTTTCTATTTTTTTAGTAGAGACAGGGTCTCACTCTTGCTCAGGCTGGTCTTGAACTCCTGAGTTCAAACGATCTGCCCTCTTTGGCCTCCCAGAGTGCTAGGATTACAGGCGTGAGCCACCACACCGGCCTATGCATGCCTATTTATTTATTTAGATAGGGTCTCACTATGTTGCCCAGGCTATAGTGCAGAGACTATTCACAGGTGTGATCACAGCTCACTGTGAATTTGAACTCCTGGGCTCAAGTGATCCTCCTGCCTCAGCCTCTCAGGTAGCTGGGATCACAGGTGTGTGCCACTATGCCTGGCTATGTCAATTTTTTTTTTATTTTATGAAACAGTTATACAGCATTTATTTTGCTAGGCACTGTTCTAAATGCTTTAAAATGTTAACTCATTTAATTTGTTTAACCTGCACAACAACCCTACGAGAGAGATATTATCATTCCCATTTTACAGATGAGGAAATCAAGGTGCAGGGAGATTAAGTTACTTGCCCAAGATAACACAGATAGTAAACACTGGACATGTCTACTGTGTTTACTATCTGAATGTGACAGTTTTTCTAGGGTATACCTCTAAGAATGGAATTGTAGATTATATGGTGTAAGAATATTTAGCTTTACCAAATAATGCCTTATAGTTTCCTGGAGGACCAATATACACTCTGCCTACAATTATAAGAGTTCCTATAGACCTACCATCTCTCCAACAATTGGTCTTGTCAGATTTTTTAACTTTTGCCAATCTGGTAGATATAAAATGGTATCCCATTGTGGTTTTAATTTTAATTTCCCTGGATTTGTTTAGACATATTTCCTTTTCTTTGAAATGCTTCTTTGTGTCCTTCTTGTAATCAGAGTCATAAATTTGTTTATTTCATGATTGGCCAATTTGAGGTCTTGCTTAAGGTCTTGTCCCAAAGACATAAAAATACTCTCCTAAATTTCTTTAAAAAGAGTTGTTAGAGTTTTCTTTCACATATAAATCCTTAGTCTAAATGGAATTGATTTCTGCATTTGGTGTGAGGTAGGGATAGTTTTTCTCTATGAGATTAGTCAATTGAGTCAGCATCACTTAATAAACTCTTCTTCCATCCAGTGATCTACAATGCCACCTTTGTCAAGGATCAAAGTTTCAAACAAGTATAGGTCTATTTCTAGGCTTTTTATTCTGTTCATTCTATCAATTTATTTGCCTATACCTTCCCTAATGCCATATTTTATAGAAAGCCTTAATATCTAGTAAAGCAAATCTGTCACCTCCTTCTTCTTCTTCTTTAGGGGTGTTCTGGTCCTTTTGTTCTTCCATATAAACTTGAAAATCAGCTTTCAATTTCCATGAACAAACTTACGGGGATCGCCTATGCATGCCTATTTATTTATTTAGATAGGGTCTCACTATGTTGCCCAGGCTATAGTGCAGAGACTATTCACAGGTGTGATCACAGCTCACTGTGAATTTGAACTCTCGGCTCAAGTGATCCTCCTGCTCCAGCCTCTCAGGTAGCTGGGATCACAGGTGTGTGCCACTATGCCCGGCTATGTCAATTTTTTTTTTATTTATGAAACAGTTATACAGAATTTATTTTGCTAGGCACTGTTCTAAATGCTTTAAAATGTTAACTCATTTAATTTGTTTAACCTGCACAACAACCCTACGAGAGAGATATTATCATTCCCATTTTACAGATGAGGAAATCAAGGCACAGGGAGATTAAGTGACTTGCCCAAGATAACACAGATAGTAAACACTGGACATGTCTACTGTGTTTACTATCTGAATGTGACAGTTTTTCTAGGGTATACCTCTAAGAATGGAATTGTAGATTATAGTGTAAGAATATTCAGCTTTACCAAATAATGCCTTATTGTTTCCTGGAGGACCAATATACACTCTGCCTACAATTATAAGATTTCCTATAGACCTACCATCTCTCCAACAATTGGTCTTGTCAGTTTTTAACTTTTGCCAATCTGGTAGATATAAAATGTATCCCATTGTGTTTTAATTTTAATTTCCCTGGGTTTGTTTAGACATATTTCCTTTTCTTTGAAATGCTTCTTTGTGTCCTTCTTGTAATCAGAGTCATAAATTTGTCTATTTCATGATTGGCCAATTTGAGGTCTTGCTTAAGGTCTTGCCCCAAAGACATAAAAATACTCTCCTAAATTTCTTTAAAAAGAGTTGTTAGAGTTTTCTTTCACACATAAATCCTTAGTCTAAATGCAATTGATTTCTGCATTTGGTGTGAGGTAGGGATAGTTTTTCTCTATGAGATTAGTCAATTGATTCAGCATCACTTAATAAACTCTTCTTCCATCCAGTGATCTACAATGCTACAATCCCACCTTTGTCAAGGATCAAAGTTTCAAACAAGTATAGGTCTATTTCTAGGCTTTTTATTCTGTTCATTCTATCAGTTTATTTGCCTATACCTTCCCTAATACCATATTTTATAGAAAGCCTTAATATCTAGTAAAGCAAATCTGTCACCTTCTTCTTCTTCTTCTTTAGGGGTGTTCTGGTCCTTTTGTTCTTCCATATAAACTTGAAAATCAGCTTTCAATTTCCATGAACAAACTTACGGGGATTCATTGGAATTGCATTGAATCTGTAGATCTTAGGGAAGAATTTACATCTTTAAAATATTGACTCTCCTGTCCAAGAACATTGGGTTCTCTCTGTCTGTCTGTTTAGATTGTCTTTAATGTCTTTCTATAATGTTTTATAATTTTCTTACTATAGGTTTTATAGTTCTATGTTTTTCTAGATTTATGCCTCTACTGTTTTTTTATTGTTGTAAATGGTGTGTTTTTAAAATTATATTTTTGTGTGTTACTGATACAGGCAAAGGCAAATTATTTTTGGATATTGATTGTATAGCTAGTTGCCTTGCTGAAATCTCTTATTATTTTGAATCATTTGGCTGATGAATCTTTTGGATTTTCTACCTAAACAGCCATTTGAAATGGTTTTGCTCATTTTTTTCTTTTCTTTTCTTTTTTCTTTTCTTTTCTTTCTTCTTCTTTTTTTAATCTTACTCCAATGTCTAGGAAGACATTTGTAGTGTTAAATAGGGTCAGAGATCATGGGCATCCTTGTCTGATCTTTATTTTAAAGGACGTTCCCCTAAGATTTACTCATTAAAAATAATATATAAATTTTATGTCAGTTTTCTTTATCAGGTTAAGGATGTTTCCTTCTAATTTGCTAGGAGCTTTTATCATGAAAGGGTGTTGAATGTCATCAATTTTTTTTTTTCTGGATCTATTGAGATAATCAAATCTTTTTTCTATTTAAATCTGTTCATGTAAGTTTTTAGTCTGGACTCCTTCAAAGCAGAGCCTGGAACAAGGACTTGGGGTTCAGACGGGTTATTTGAGAGGGGATTCCAGCAAGCAGGAAGTGGGGAACAGGGAGAAAGAGATGGGAAAGGAAGAAAAGCCCATTTCAAGGAGCGCAGCTGACGTTGCAGCTCACCCTGTTGGTCCTCAGAGGCGCCTGCAGGATGCCTCCCAGAGTTGCCCACGGGGAAGAAGGAGGCTGGGACATGTGTCTACTGGCTTCTGTTCTCCACTGGGTAAGGGACCTTGGGGACCTTAACTCTCCCAGACTTCTGGGACTCACAAGCAGGCAAACAAATTGCTCCCAAAGCATTGAAGAAGACTCAGAGGCAAAAAGCAGAAAGAAATGTGGTATATAAGCTTGTACAGGGACACTGGCAGCCTAAGGGGAGTCTTGGGCTTACACAAAATGACCCACTGTATGTACAGCGAAATCAGAGGAGGGCAGAAGCAAGGAAATACACAGCACCAAAGTATACTATTGCCAACATAATAAATAACTTTCATAGGTTTTTCTTCTATTGTTGAACCACCCTTGCATACCTGAAATAAACCCCACTCGAATGTGATGTCTTGTATTTTTTATACACTGCCAGATCTGATTTACTAGTATTTTTCTTATAACTGTTGCATTTATGTTCATGAGTGAAACTGGCCTATAATTTTCCTTTATTGTCCTGTACTTGTCTATTTTAGATATTAATGTCACGCTGGCCTCCTAGAAAGAGTTAGAGAGTATTCCCACTTTTTCCATTC